AGGCTATTGGTGAAAGTGCAGCCCAGTTGCAGAAGAAGACCCCGCCATTTGGGAGATGCCAGTACCATGGGACGACCACCAAGAACAGCAGCAGTGGTGAGGTGGAGGCTGCCTGAGTTTAGAAGACAAGCGAGGTGTGCTGCAGAGGTTGGAGCTGGAGAAGTGGCCCGAGCCCTTTTGAGAGTGTAGAAGTTTGTGAGTGGATCCCAGACACTGGACACTGGGTTGTTTACGTTAGGAGTTTGGTTTTGCTTTGATCTGATTGTGACCATGCCCTGGTTCTTCCCTCTTGAAGTAAGAAAATATTTAACTTAATTTTGATTTTTATAGGAGCCCATAGTTGAGGTATTTTGAAACTTTAAACGAGATTTTGGATTTTTAAAGAGACTAGATATCTTATTATTATTATTATTATTATTATTAATTTTACAATACTATTCAGTTCTACATAATAGCCACAGATTCCCTTGTTCTCTCCCTTCCTGCCCCCTCCCCTTCCCCCCAGCCCATCCCCCATTCCCAGTCCTCGGGGGAGACTAGATATCTTAAAGGGACTGAACTTTTAATGTGTTTGAATTTGTGAAGACTGTGTTACTTTTAAAATAATTTAAGTTTTGATGTGAGGTCTTGGGGATGAATGAGAAAACAAAGGTTGTAGCTTAATGGTGATATGACAAGGGGCAATTGTTCTGTGTAGTTTTCTGTCAACTTGACACAGGATGGAGTCATCTGAGGGGAGGGAAGCTCAATTAAGAGAATCCCTCCATAAGACTGGGCTGTAGGCAAACCGATAGGCATTTTCTTAATTAGTGATTGATGGGAGAGGGCCTGGCCCATGTGGATGGTGCCATCCCTGGGCTGGTGGTCCTGGGTTCTGTAAGAAAGCAGGCTGAGCAAGCCATGAGGAGTAAGAGCAGTACCCTGCCATGGCCTCTGCATCAGCTCCTGCCTCCAGGCCCCTTTCCTGTGTGAGTTCCTGTCCTGACTTCCTTCAGTGTTGGAATAGCATGTGGAAGGATAAACCAAACAAACCCATTCCTCCTCCGAGTCGATTTGGTCATGCTCTTTAATTATAGCAATAGCAACCTTAACTAAGATAGCATCTAGAGTAGGAACACTGAAAAAGCTGAGCTGCCCCAATGAAAAAAAGAAACAGGGTAGGACAACATGATGCCAGGCGAAGGGACCAGCCTCTGAAGGTCTCACATGCCTTCCTAATTCTCATTCTGCTTTTGTGGAGTTTCATTTATAAAAGCTCCAGGCTTTGGATCATTGAAGTCGCATTTCAGATGATACTAAAGAAAGCACTGTACTCACAGGTGCTGACACTGGGTGGATTGTGCTGGTGGCCTGGAATATTTGTGATTCCTTGTGAAAATGTTGAGTCTAGAATCAGAGATGGTAAGTCTAGATGCTGACCAGTTACAATCGTAAGGGGAAGTTGGTGAGTCCTGGAAAGAATTATCTCATTGTCATAAAGGCCAGAGATAATATCTTAGGCCATAAACGAATGACTGGGAATCTTAAAAATGTGCTAATTTGAACTTTAAGAATTATATTTGTTTTTTATACCTTTCCTGATGACTGGAGCTGATACTGACAATAAAATCTCTAAATCACTGTTAGTACTTCACAATGGTCTTAAATAATAGCACTGTTATACTAATTATTTATAACCGTGTAACAAATTACTCAAAGCCCTGCACTTAAAATACCTACATTTCATAGCTTGTAGTTTTTGTGCCCCATGGTCATTAGGGTGCTATGCACAAGGATTCTCAATGGCCAAATCAAAGAGTTAGCCAGGATGCATTTTTACTCTCCTATTTGGGAAGAATCTGTTTTTAACTCTGTTAAAATTTTCTTTTTCTTGCTGTAAGATCAAGGGCTTCAACCTCCTGCTATCTGCAGGCCCAGGAAGCTCTGGTGACTGCCTGCAGGTCCCAGAGTTTGCTCTCTGTTCCTTGCCAAAGAGACTTTCCTAATGTGACTGCTTTCTCCCTGAATTTGGGGAGGAGAGCAGGAAGTCTGTTAACAAGGTGAATCGTATATGCTATAACACAACTACAGAACAACACCTCCAAAACCCCAGGTTCTGGTTAGAAACAAATGTGGTGTCCTGAGCACAGCCAGCAGGAAATGGTGACACATAAAGGCACACACAACAGGAAATGGAGACCCCAGGGAAGCAAACTGAGTCCATCCATATTTCAATATTTCCAATGAAGTCTGTGCTCTTGACACTAGAATTCCCTAAATTGGCTTTGACAACTCCAAGAGTTTCTATTTCTCCCACCCCACATTGTTAGAATCCCAGTTCCCCAGCCAGGAAAGAGGTTCGGCCCATTTCAAGACACAGCCAACAGTAAGCAGGCTGCATGGCAGACCCATCCCAAGAGCAGAGACATGGAATCCATTTAGAGGTGTGCAAGTGGACCCTGAGTGTTAGACTCTTACCCACGCCCAGATTTATAGTTTTGTGAGGACCATGCTAGTGACCCATATTATATGAAAAACCAGGGACATCTTAAGACATTTTAGTAGTTTCCTTACCAGTGACTTCAGTGTTCAGTTTATCCACCACTTTCTTTCTTTCTTTCTTTCTTTCTTTCTTTCTTTCTTTCTTTCTTTCTTTCTTTCTTTCTTTCTTTCTTTCTTTCTTTCTTTCTTTCTTT